CAAACCCTGCCCGCGGGTAAGCGTGGTACCTACGTACAAGCCCGTGAAGGTTCCTTCCGGGTAAGTAACTTAGTCGAGAATGTGAGAAGCTAGAAAACTGGAATTTTGAGGGGATGTTTCCTGACAGTTCTGGCGGCCAGTCTGGAATTCTTTCAAGAGAAGACTGAAATTTTGAGGGGATATTTCCTGACAGTTCTGGCGGCCAGTCTGAAATTCTTTCAGTATATCTGCCGAAAAAACCGATGCCGGTAGCGAGAAAAACTGCGGGGAACTCTGCAAAAAACGCATCTTTGCACGGGCAGCCCGTGCGTTGGCCAATTATTATTGTTGAAATACGTCCCCACTGTTGCTGTTTAAGGCAAACTTATCCCGGGCGTATGTTTGCTCTCAGTTTTTTGTATATTTGGATTACTTGAACCACTTATAAATCCTATTCTAATTCTCCAACTGTACACTGGTAACTTCCTCAATTAATCTGACCAATATTGCATTGCCGGGTGATTAGACAACTGGCGATCTTGACATTCGTTTCGTTTCTTGAAGGAACTATTAGCTCAACGAAGCTCCCGAAAGAAGCACTTGGCAAAGCTTTAAATATTATCAACTGTAAAAAAAACAGTCTGAATTAAAAGTTCTCAATAGATGTTAATATTGCTAGGCATGATTGGAGTGTCTGGAGGGATGGCCGCAACACTGGGACAACTTAATGCCAGTCCTGAAACTTTTATTCAAATCGGGACAGCTATTGGTACCGGAGGACTTATCGGCACCGTAATTGCTAAACGAATTCAGGTAAATCATTTGAATATAAATTGGTTCTGTTTTTCTTTTTCCCCTGCTAATCGAGTTTAAATAGAATGCTTTGATTAGATTAACTTAGTTATAGAGGGAATGGATGGTTGAGGATTGGAAATCGGTTTATTCCTTTTATCAGAAATTTAGACAGAATTGCCGCTAAAAAAATTTAGACGGCATTACCGGTTAGAAGAGAAACGCGCAAGTTTGAATTGAGTCACAAAATCTAGACTAAAAAAATCGCAAGAAATGCAAAGTTCGGTAAAATAAACTCGGGAAATAAACCCAAAGCAAATTTGGTAAAGAAAGTAAGGGTAAACACAGTCGAAAAAGCCGGAAAAGTTGTCATTTACATAGGTACGAAGCAGCAGACTATGAATTAACAACTGTTCTAGGTTACATATAGGTTTGGAAGCGCTGGGTTCCTTTAAATAGGAGTGATTAAAAATGGCATTTTTTTAAAGCTACTGGAGCATCAAAGTAGAACGCATGTTTTTGTTACGGAAAACCCGTGAAAGCCGGTCAAGAAGCTCCGACAAAGAAAAAGCGAAAAAAAGAAAGGTGTATCTTGCCTTGAAAGGCAGACACAAAACAGATGCTGCCAGGCTAAACTTGGAGCACAGAAGCTCGTGGTGTAGTGGTAACGCTTTGCATCCGGACATGAAGGGGAGTGGTTCGATTCCCTTCCGGTGCAAGACAATTTTCGAGAAAAGGCTCCGTTCAAGACAGCTTTCTTTACTCGTGAAAAAAGTAGTCACTTGATCGAACTATGGCGCAAACGGTAAAAAATAACGGCTGGAGTTATAAAGTCCCACTCAGGTTCTCAGGCATAAATGCGTTTTTATCGTATTCATAGATTTTGATTTTGTCGGTGTAGTCCAGATACAGCCTTGATATCTATATTCAGCTACATGCTACATTTTCAGGTAACGGATCTCCCGCAACTTGTTGCACTATTCCATAGTTTTGTTGGAGCTGCGGCAACTGCAACATGTGTAGCAAACTTTTTGGTCGAATATCCTCATTTTCTGGCCGATCCTTCGGGCACTGCAGCCACAAAAGGTGCCCTGTTTCTTGGTGCATTTATTGGCGGCGTTACGTTCACTGGTAGTCTTATG